GGGGGGCTATAATAAAGATGACCCTTGGGTTAATTACTCCCAAGGGAAAGGTAGGTGGTGGTGAGGCAAATGGTAAAACCAAGGTTGGGCCTTGCTGGGCAAGTTTTATTCAAAGCGAACTGTCAAGGGGGTCCCATAAATCACCCGACCGCGTTAGGAACGCAAAATCCGGGAGCATAACACCGGTATGACGAAAACTAGGGCGGCAAGAGTGGAACAAAACACCGGGCATAAGGCCGAGCCTTCCACCCTTTACCAAGTATATAGATGCATTAATAATATAAGAGATATTGTGATATCCCAACCAAAATCCTGTCCACCATGGAGAAATCTTCAACTTCACCTGCAACTAGCAACGCTATAAGAGGGCTGAGCAAAGCGGTAACATGGCCAAACAACGGTTTGCTAGGAAGGGTGTCAAAGGTTAGAGGTTCATGGCAATTTGGGGAGGCTTGAAGAGCAAATGATAGGTAACGCAGCATAGCGATAGAACGAAGCAACTAGCATAGCAATGATAGTAGTGAGATCCAGGGTAGCGGTCATCTTGCCTGAAATCCCGCTAGGAAGAAGAACGAGTCCATGAAGAAGATGAAGCCACGAAGACGACCCAAGCGTAGATGAACGAATCCTCACGATCGCAACGAAACAGAAACTATCGAGAAGAAGCACACAACAAGGTAAACACACCACACATGAACAAGGCATGATGCACGACAAGCATGATGCATGACAAAGCTACATGAAGCTACTCATGGCAAGAGATGAAGCATACAAGAGCAACACATCAAGGCAAGTTTAAATGAGGCCGGGAACAACATATAACAATTCCGGTAAGTCCTCATATGCAAATTTCGAAATTGGTCCAGAACTGAATAAAACTTATGTTCAAGTTGTTAAACAACAAGTTAAAGAGCACCAAGAGGATCTACATGAAATTCTAGTCAAGTTACATATAAAGTTCATTTAAATCGGAGCTACGGCCTAGAAGATATGAGCAAAACAAGTTAAGCATGGCATCGATGCAAAATGCATACAAACATCAAGCAAACACCTCAAAACAAGGATGCAACATGATAATATGAAACTACATGCAAAATCAAGCAAGTTTCATATAGAGCACACTCAAAACGGAGCAACGGTTCAACACGTACACTCCATACAAGTCATAACAACAATCTGTCCATAACAGCAACTAGGCATTTTACAAGCATCAAAACAACATGCTACAGCACCCCAACATAATAACAAAAGGCATGTGCATGAAGTACAGGTAAAGCACAACAAAACATGAACACTGAGCTATCTCCAGAAAAGACGAGAACATGCTCAAACACACATGGTAAGATTTGCAAATAATAACAGTTTCAGACTTATCAGGAAATAACATCAGGTTGCAATATTTAGGGCTATCAAACAGCATGTTACAGGAAGCTATCATGGCAAAACAAAGGCATGGCATGAATCTACTAATAGCATAGAAGAAAAGACCCTTACTGACCATGAGCCAAAAAGGATCAGAAGATAAGATGGCACCCATGTAAACATGGCAAGTTATATTACAGATTCAAACATGGCAGGAACAATAATAAGTAGGCATGTTGGTGAGCTTGAACCACTCACTACAGAGCAATACATGGCATGGCAAGGCAACTAACAGTAAGAAGACATGTTTATGAAGCTAAGAATGGCAAGAGCAAGTTCATAGGATGCATGGATCACTAGCAAACAATCATGGGAACATTGAACTTAATGTTTATAGGCTGACAGCAATATTATTTAGCAACTTTGGAGCAAGATATGAACAATCTACAGCAAGCTATAAATGCAACCAGGGGCATGAATGGCTAGAGCAAGACATGTATAACAAAACATCCTTAGTGAAACATCTCAAGATTATGCATAGAACGACTTGTAGCAGCAGGTTTACATAGCAAGAAAATATAACAGAATCTGTCAGGAAAACAGCAATAGCAAGTACCCTCCTTAACAAGCTTGATGCACTCAGCACACAACTCAAAAAAATACATGGATGGAACCACTGGAAAGATGGCATGACATAGATCAAAACACATGTAGACATCAACCTCATAGGATGCACACATCAACCATGGCAAAAATGACAAAACAGCAAGTTATAACAGTTCCAGCAGATTAACATCATCATGCACTCTTCCAACAACATTTCGGGCATCAAGATGAGCTCAAATTAAAATGATGCAATGGAAAGAAATGAAGTACTCATTGAGGCGAACAATTTGATATATTACACGTACGAAACTGAGCTATGGATGCAGAGTTACAATGCGATGAACATGGCATGATAATATAAAACAAATCGGGGACTTGGCAGATTTTACCACTTCGGATCTAGGGTTGACCGCGGCACGAAAAACGAAGCAGGCGGCGGCTCGCCGGAGTTGCGACCGGGGAAGTCGCCGGCGAGGTCGAGGGAGCTCGGGAGGGCCGGATCTGGCCGGCCGACGAGCTCCTCCGGCCGGGATCGGGCGGATCCGGGCGCGGAGTGCGGGGCAACGCCGGAGGCGCGCGGACGGCGCCGGAGCCCGGCGAGCGAGGAGGCGCCAGGGAGCTTGGGAGGGCTCCGGCCACCAGGAGGCGGCGAGGCGGTGAGGCGCGGGGTCACGGGCGCGGCCCCGGGCTGGATCAGCGGCG